CCCCCGATCCAGACACATCGGCCCGCGCAAAGGCCGCTGGGAGGGGAAATGAGAAGGCCTCGCCGGCGCCGGCTAGGCCTCGCCCGACCGCACCCTGGCGGCGGCGAGGGAGGAGGAAGGGATGGAGCAGGAAGCTGGCTGCGACGCGCTAGGTTTCCTCCCTGTCACCTTGCGGGGGTGACACAGGAGGGTGGGGGGAAAGTCCGTAACAATCCTCGCTCTTGAGTAATAATCCCTCTGTAAACAAATATATGACACTGATTTCCCTGAAAGAAAGACCGGTAACAAAAAAAAATGAGCACGTGTATGCAGTTCCCGCTCAACCTTATCTTCACCGCCGCATACCCCCTCTTCCTTCTCGCAAACAAACTTTGGAAGAAAAGCTCAGCGGAGACGACTGGGAGTAGAGAGCTTCAGACGAGGAGATGGCCTGCTGGTTGGGGGCAGCCTACAGAGTGGCGGCAGCGGGGGTCTTGCGGTCTGAGCGGCAACGATTCAGCCTTCCTCGAGCGCCGACGGCGGCAAAGAGGGCCAGCTTCTTGGAGCAGCAACTAGAGGAAGCAGCCGGCAGCGCTCGCGCTGTCCAAGGTTAGCGACGACGAGGCCCTCTTCATACCCTCGCTTTCTCTAACGACGAGGCGACTTGGACGCTCCCTTCTTGTCCAGGATGGATGTATTTAATTGTTCTGCAGTTACACAGGTTCCTATTGGGGACGAATAATTGTGTTTCGACTAAAATTTCTTAAACAGATGCCCCGCATGTTTGCAATATTCTGATATGTCTTGATAATGCTATTTACTGATACAAATTGATGTTAGTTTCAGTAGGGGACATTTGCGAAATTTAGTTTTTGAATTGCAACAGTTAATAGTTTGAACATCGAATGCTTTTTCACAAGAAGTTTCTAGTGTATTTCTGCAGTCCTATTTTTGTTATCCAAGATTATGTAACTGCCTGCACGCGCATCCACTTTGTGCACCTTGCAAAATGTTTCTTACATTGTGAGTTGCTACTGCAGGGTGTGTGGCTAGCCCAACTACTGCTAAGGTGATAGATAACCAAATGGAGAGTGAAGTCGCAATGGGCTACACGATGACTCAAATCTGTGATAGGTTTATTGAGTTCTTCATGCATGAGAAGCCAGAAACAAAGGACTGGAGAAAAATATTGGTTTTCAGAGAGGAGTGGCAAAGATACAGACCGCACTTCTACAAGCGTTGCCAAGTGTGTATAGATGTGGAAACTGACACTTCTGTGAAGCAAAAGTTGATTGTACTCGCTAGAAAAGTAAAGAAGGTATGCTCTTTTTTTAACACAGCAAAAATAGTCTTTATTGTACTCGCTAGAAAAGTAAAGAAGGTATGCTCTTTCTTTAACAGAGCAAAAATAGTCTCTTTTTTTGCAAGAGCAAAAATAGTCTTTATGGCCGGCCTCAACCTATGTTTTAAAGGCGTCCCTAAGGCGACGCCTAGGCGACGCCTAGGCGTCGAAGCGCTCCCCCTCCGCTTTGGAAAATCGACCGCTTTGGGCGCCTAGGCGTCCAAAGCGCCCGCCTAGGCGTCGCCTAGGCGCCAAAGCGCCCCCCCTCCCTAAGGCGGTAAGGCGTCGCCTTAAAAACATAGGCCTCAACTATGAGCCAACTATGTTCTTATTTGATTTATGCATGCATCCTTGCCAATTTAAGTCTGCTTTGAAAAAACATTATATTCCTCGAGATAATTGTTTAGCCATCAATTTTGGAAACATCATATATTTGGATTACATAATGATATTGTTAGGTAGGTGCGCCATAGTCAATCAAGAGAAGGGTTCATGTGCATTGTAGTTTTCTGAACCCTCTTGTTTGCAATTAATTTTGTTAGATCGATGATGAAATAGAGACGCACATGGAACTCTTCACAGAGCTCAGAGAGAATCCCACTGATATCAACGCTATTGTCGCAAGACGACGAAAGGATTTTACTGGAGACTTCTTCCGCAATCTCAATTTTCTTGTAAATGCTTACAACGGCCTTGATGAGCGAGATGGTAACTTTCTACCTTAACAGTTCTTGGCTCACGAACTGTATTTATTTTATTGTATTCTTATAATTTGAATATTGAGCCAACCAGTCACTAACACATATAAAGATATACAATATTATAGAGATTACTGAAACAGACCCACCAATGGGTTTTATGTCGTTCTTGAGAACTTGCAGCACGACCTCTGTTTTAAACAGTCAGAAAAGTAAATGAAAAAGGACCTGATGATGCATTTATTTATTAGAAGCTATGGCTACATTAAGTCTATTTCTAATGCTTTGGCTGGTCATTTAATTCATCCAGTCAATCTATTCTACCGAGAATGTGTGTCATGTATATCATTTTGTTGTTCTGTGAACAGATGATGAACTGTGTCTACTTCACTTCAGTTCTAGTCACATTATCATCATGGTCTTATTTTTCTTATCTGCGCTTATTTTGTTGTTGCCCAAATTATGCAGCAATTGCCAGGCTTGGGGCCAAGTGTCTATCTGCAATTCATGCATATGATTGCACACTCCAGCAGTTGGACATTGATTCTGCTCAATCAAAGTTTGATGATATATTGAATTCTTCTTCACTAGATGATGCGTGTGACAAGATAAAAGGATTAGCTAAGGCTAAAGAACTTGACTCATCTTTAGTTCTTCTGATTAATAGAGCCTGGGCTGCTGCAAAAGACTCTAAAACTATGAAGAACAAGGTTGGTCTAAGTGAAAAATTAACATTTTTGTGCAAGTTATCTATGTTTAATAATGATTTCATGCTACATATATATACTTGCCAACCAAAGCTGTGTGAACACAATATGAATCACTTTAATCCATCAGGCATTATGCTGATTTTCCCACTATTTGCCACCCTACATCATTGAGGCAAGTAATATAGCTTGTTATTTATGCTTGAAAGTAGCGAGACGGTAAGTAATAAAACACTAGTACTATCTTATTTATGTTCATGAAAGATAAAAAATAGCACTTCTGCCTATACTTCCGCCACGTTTACATTTTTAAGAAGTTAATGGATACATGACATTTACCTTCTCGTTGAGTTCTTCAATTTCCTAAAATTTGTTGAAGTATATCTGGATTGCCCAACCTTCTCCATCACTGTAGACTTTTGGTACTACTGGTTCGTGCATGAAACTTAATATGGTATCAAAGCCAAGAAGTCTTCGTTTCAAGTCTCGGTTTTCAGCATTGAAAAAAAAGCTTGCCCTCTTTCTTTCCATGTTTAGGCCTTATCGAGCCCCACGTGGGAGGGGGTGTTGAAGTATATGTGCATTGCCTAACCCTGAATGACACTTAATAAAACTAGATGATTCCCCGGTGTTCCTGCGGAAACACTGAGAGACATGTAGCTATGAAATATTGTTATTGTATCACAATGAAAATTGTGTCAAGTTAACAACTTAATAGCTTGAGGAATTTTGACAATAAATTAAATTAAATTCTTTAATGACAAATACATGTCAGATTAATATGTGCTATTCCTCTCTTTCATTTTCTTAGACCCATCTCGAAAAAATCTTGAAGCAATGTAGGGTTTTCCAAGAAAATTTGCTTCAGTATTTGGGAATAAAGGATGCGCCATCCAATACTTCTATAATTGCAATGTCATGACTCACGGCAGGGACGAAGCTAGAAAAAATAATTAATGGGGTCAGCTTTACATTAATGGTGTCAACTTCACAAATTAGCAAGGATTTGTGTTAATTTAGTGAAGTATTTTCAAAATCCGCTGGTGTCAGCTGATACTAGTGGTAATACTTGAGCTTCGTCCCTGGCTCACGGTCTACATAATTTGCTTCTCATACACAATAACGTCATAAGATTTCCAAATTTGTATTAGTCGCATTCTCCTTTTGATCACATATTAGATTTGCCGGATTACTAAGATGTTTGTATGAATTTAAGAACTGGTTTTGTTACATATCAACTTTATGAGCTTAGTATTTATCTGTTGTAGTTATTGTTGTTATGTTTTTGACTAAGCAACATTTACAAAATATTATTAGCCAAAACGTGCAGAGAATGTTTGTTTACACTCATTGTGTGGCATAGGTCAAGGATATAATGTATCATATTTATACAACTGCAAAGGAAAGCCTCAAAATCATCTCACCTCCAGAGATGAAACTTCTGAAGTACCTACTGAATATTGAAGATCCCGAAGAGAGATTTGCTGCTCTCGCGTCTGCTTTCTCTCCAGGAGATGAGCACGAAGTCAAGGATGAAGATGCTCTTTACACGTAAGTAACTATTTAGGAAGATATTTATGTAAAAGTTCATCGATTCATTGGCTGGATCATCATTATTTTTTTGAAGAAAGGCAAAAGGCTTTGCCTTTACATTAATTAAGTAGGGGAAGAAACAAGGTTCAGTACAGACCTCTCACTGAGCACACCGGCGAGAGGGAAAACCCACTGAAGAGAAACTCATAGAGAGCCTGTACCCAAACACCATCGAGAAACAGGAAACCTGAAAATCCTCATGGGAATTACTCCCGGTATCATGAAGCTCAAATGCTTTGCGCCAGCCTTTTGTCATAGGCATGACTCTTCCATGAGTTGCGACAGAATGGTCGGGTCTCGACATGGCGGAACGACACGAGCATTCCACTCATTCCAAATCTGCCCAGAGATCAACATGGCAAGGGTCCCTATGCCCCGTTGCGCCGTATTGCTTGGCCGAAAAGCCCACCACTCTTTAGCCGATGGGGAAGTATGCCAACCTTTGGGGTGAATGTCATGGATGCCTAGCCAGGAAAGCGCCAACTTCCATATTCCGACAGTGAATCTGCAACATCATTTTGTCCATGCAGTATAATATGTTTGCCTATTTATTGCGTCGGATGCATCTAGTTTTTCTTGTCCATTCGTTATGTCACAAGTATTTGAGTTGATTGGAGTAGCCAATTGGAAATGTTGATTCTATGACTTCAAAATAAGGATTCATTGGCCTTAGCATGCTCCACTGAACTACTTACTAAATACTGACATGTAAGCATTGAGCTGACTTGTCTAATTTCCACCCCCATAAAAAATGTTGCCATGGGGATGTATGAAGTTGATAGAAACTTTTTAATATCTTCAGACTGAACTATTGTCTATCAAATTTTAATTTGAGAGTTATATTTACGGAAACCACACTTCATAATTCTTGCCTAATTAGTCATTGTTCAGGATTGAATGAGAGCTACATTGTACCTTTGGGTTCCTGCTTATCCAGAAAAAGACGAGGATTTGACAATGAATGCTAAATGGGCCAGGATAATATTATGTTGACCCCATGTTGATGCATTAAATATGCATATGACAGAAATAATGCGAGGAATTTAATTACATGAAAAATACTGGAGCATGTATGTTGTTACGTCTTGAACTAGGCACCACAAACTGCTCGGGTGCCAATGTTTTGTTACAATAAATGTTAGTTCATGTAATTTTAAGGTGCTTCTCATAATCTCTATGCATTTTACCCAGACCTGCTAATTAGACATCATTGTTTATGCAGAACTCCCAACGAACTCCACAAGTGGATCAAAATGGTGCTAGATTCGTACCATCTCAACAAGGAGGAGACGGATTTCATGGATGCCAGAAGGATGAGCGACCCGGTTATCATCCAGCGATTGATTCTTCTCAAAGAGACGGTCGAGGAAGAATACATGAAGCAATACATAAACCCTGAGGACCAAGAATCAGAGGACAGGGAAGAACAAGAATTTTGAGCCTGTAACACCCATGAATCGGTGATGTTTGTAGAAGATCAGATGTTTTGTAGGTTGCCAGGACTAGTGTTGGTCTTATGAAGTTACAGCCTTACAGAGAGATAGTTAGGTAGGTGCCCTGTAGCAAGGTAAGGTTTAGCTAGAACTTATGGTTTTTTAGTACACTGATTACATGTTCGTATGCGATACAAGCAATAGCAATCTTCGGTGCATGCAGTCAATATTTCATCATCGATCTTTTAGAGCAAGTGTGTCATCAGAAATTATTGCTGTGAACATTGCTGGTTCGACTGGTGTGGTTACTACTAGGTGGTTGAAGTTTGATTTGCATTTAGACTAACAAAATAAAATCACATTATCTGACATAAAAATGACTGGTTTGTATACCACTTGAAAGTTGAAACCACATTATCTGGCATAAAAACGACACACACAACTAGAATTAATCTGGTAAAATCTGAATCTTAGAATTGGTGGACGCTTGTTAGGTGCTCATCATACATATGCATGCGAGCCAAATATCAGAGTGAGATTAAGGCAGCAATGCCACCCAGATTCGGGTGGGTTCGTTCACAGCAATATCAACCCTCCTTAGCCATGACCCAAATATGCGAAATACTACGGAGCGGGGTGACATTAAAGGCTGAAAACATAACTTGTCATGTAACATGTACCAGACAACAACCAAAAAAGAGATGTTGAATGGGACATGGAGTTCATGAGCTCGAGCTCACATGCACCCTACAGTAAAATCCGAAAATAATTTTTTGGCAACAAACAATGGTACATGCGTGCAAAATTTCGTGATGGAGTGGCATTCATGGAGGTCTGAAAAAAATGATGCTCCAAAAGACTGTTTTGAAGCATTTTGGAGAATCGATTATGTTTTCCCCTAGACCTCCATGAATGTCGTTCGATTGCAAAAATCTGAACACATGTGAAACAGACATCATTTTTTGTTTTTTTAATTTTACTGTAGCAAAGGGTGGATGTGAGCTCGTGCTCACAAGAGCACTTTCATGTTGAATGGTCTCTTGGTCATAATAGGAGCAGCACCGAGTATCCCCTTGTCACATTCGTTTGACTAAATTTTTTTTAAGGTAAAGCAAAGTTTTATAGATTAACGGTGTCCAGGTAAATCACCTGTGACACAAACAACCACTTGGGACGGTACATTCGAGTTCCAACTCATACTATCATTAGGTAAACATATACAACTAATAACTGCTAACTCATGGGCTACCGAGTTGGCCTCACGTCGGCAATAGCTGACTCTTTGGTGCGAGAACCACATCTTAAGCTGGAATTTGATGTCCTCAATGACGACAGCGTAGGGAGAGGAATCCACCTTGCGAAGATCCAAAGCTTCAGCCAGCAGCTGGCAGTCCGTTTCAAAGGTCACCCGGAGTGCACCAAGCTCACTTGCGACTGTAATGGCTGCACTCATGGCAGTGACCTCAGCCCCAAATGCATCGAATACATTTTCATGACGACCTACATGGGCCGTAATCACATGCCCAACGGATTCACGTACCACCAAGCCCCAACCCCCAAACGAGTTTCCGGGCTGGAATGAGCCATCTATATTAATCTTGAGCATTTCTTCAGTTGGCGGCTGCCATTTTAGATGAGCAGGCTTACCTTTCTTCAGGGAAAAGTACTCAAGATACTCTAGAGCATTGCAGTGGGTACGACCCATGACTTCTTGTGCATCGACAACCAGCTCTCCCTCCCTTATCTTATTTCTTTATTCCACCAGTGCCACCAAAAGATAATGATCAGCATTCTTTTATTTTCATCTAGCTCCCACAGCTTGTCCAGCATTACATGCACGTCTGGGATTCCCTCCAACGCCTCTCGCTCCTTCTCCAGGCCCAGCCCCCTCTAGACTTATTTGACCGCTTTGCACTTGATAAACAGATGGCCTCCATCTTCTGTTACTCGGCCACGGAAAAAGCATTTGTTGGTCTTTAATTTCAGTCCCCGTTTCTCCAAATTAGTACACATCGCTAAGGCTTCGTGTTTCATTCTCCATATGAACATCTGAAGTTTCTTTGGGCATGAGAGTTTCCAAATGCGCTTCCAAGCATCATCTCCATGTCTATCAAACTGACCAGCCACCTCTAAACTACAGCCCGGACTCCCGGTCCTTGCGTGCTTAGCCAGTTGGGATTGCAACTTATACGCACTTCTCACTGAATGTATACCTTTACCATCATAGTGCCATGCTATGAAATCTTCTACTCCTTCTCTCAACGCTATCTGCAGAATGTGACGGGCATCCTTCGGCTAAAAGGTGTCTCGGACCATTGCTTCATCCCATCCACCCGTGATTGGGCACATCAACTCACTTACATGGGTTATAAGGTGTGATCCTTTCGGAGTAATCACTTGTCGCGACCAAGCCCGTTGGATCCACGGGCCAGTCCAGATTTTGACGTTTGTACCATCACCAATCCTCCATATGTATCCTTGTTTAATCATCTCCATACCTTGCAAAATGCTCCTCCAAGAATAAGAAATCCCCTCCCTCGGTTCAGCTTCCAACAAATGACAGTGAGGGAAATACCTAGCCTTTAGGACCTTTGCACAGAGACTGTCCTGATTTTTGGAAGAGACACCATCCCTGCCTGGACAGCATTGCATGATTGAAGTTATGCATATCTCGGAAACCAAGTCCTCCTTTAGCTTTCGGCAGTGTCAGTTTGTCCCAACTGATCCAATGCAAAGTGTTTTCCTTGTCATGTTGGCTCCACCAGAATTTTCCAAGCAAACTATTAATTTCTGAACACAAGGATTTGGTTAAATCGAAGCATGACATTGCATAAGTTGGAATGGCATGTGCAACTCCCTTTACCGGTCCTTCTTTGCTCTCTTTAGCCAGTAACCTCTCCTGCCAACCGTATACTCTCCCGCAGATACTACCTTTGACATAAGCAAATGTTTTCCTCCTTGATCTGTCTACATGCACCGGAAGACCAAGGTATCATTCGTTCCAGTTTTCGCTATTGATCTGTAAGGCATTCTTGACTGACTCTTTTGCCTCCTTCGGGGTGTTCAGACTGAACATGATGGCCGATTTCTCCACGTTAATACACTGCCCTGAGCGGTCCTCATACAGAGCCACAACATCATGCAGCGCGGCCTCCTCCTCTTGGTTCGCCTTCAACAAAAGCATGGAATCATCAGAAAAGAGAAGGTGAGACACACTAGGAGCAGCTATACATATTTTGACCCCGGTGATACTTTTCTTCTCCTCCGCCTCATTTAGCAGTGCAGATAATCCTTCCGCGCAAATGACAAACAAGTATGGCGACAACGGGTCTCCTTGCCGCAGGCCTCTGGAAGGACTGAATTGTTTCCTTCGTGTACCGTTAACCTTTATCTCGTAGCGTATAGTAGTTACACATTTCATAACTAGCTTCACCCATGGCCTGCTGAACCCAAGCTTGGTCATCATAGCCTCTAAGAAACTCCACTCGACCCGGTCATACGCCTTGCTCATGTCCGCCTTTACTGGAGCATATCCTTCCTTACCATTCCTCTTGTTCATCAAGTAGTGTGAGACCTCATAGGCAATCAACACATTATCCGTGATCAATCTGTCGGGTACAAATGCACTTTGATTATCTGAAATGATCTTCGGTAGCACCAATTTGAGCCTGTTAGCTAGGACTTTGGAGACCAGCTTGTATATTAGGTTGCACATTCTAATTGGCCGAAGATCTTTGATCCTGTTCGGGTTATGAACTTTGGGTATAAGAACCACAAGGGTATCGTTCCAGCCTTCGGGGATATCACCACCATTTAGAACATCCATGACCTCCTCAACCACTTTGTCTCCCATTAAATCCCAATGGCGCTTGAAGACGACGGAGGGCGTGCTGTCCAGCCCCGTGGCCTTGAGATCTCCAATATGATCCAATGTGGCCTTTATTTCTTCCCTTGTGAACTTTGCATTAAGGATCGAATGCATGGTGGTGGTGACGCGCGGTTTCACCTTTTCAATGAGTTCAGGTGTTCGCTCCCCGCGCAAGATGTAAAGAGGTCCTGAAAGAAAGAGCACACATAGTTAGTTAACTCCTCTTCCTTCTTCACTACTACCCCATCCTCCCTCCCGAGCTCCTTTATCCTATTAGCTTTCTTCCTCGCCGTCGCCACTAACTTTAGATAGCCCGTGTTTCTATTTCCATCCCTCAGCTACCACACATGAGCCCTTTGTTTATAATGAGTATGCTTCTTTTCTTCTAACTCCTCCACCAACCGCCTCAATCCAGCTTCCTCTATAATTTTCTCCTGTGACACAGGCTCAAGAATGCATCTCTCCAAGTCTCGGCGTGCCTTTTTCAACCGGCCTTCAGCTCTCCCACGGCCTCCTTATTCCACTTGGTCAGTTCTCCCGCCACTGATCGCAAAGTTTGTGCTACTCCTTCATTTTCCCCTCTCCCGCTCTCATTCCAGGCCTCTCGAATCACATTAGTGCAACCTTCCTCTTGCAAACAGCGTGCTTCAAATATGAATCCTGAGTCTCCCCTACTCCAATTACTCTCCGCACCCTCCGTACAGGCTATGACTGGCCGATGATCAGAATGCCACGGCTCTCCATTGACAACTACAAACCTAGGGAATTTCTCACACCATTGCTCGTTCGTAGTCGCCCTATCCAACCGTTCACAAATGTATGTTTGCAGCTCCTTACCATGGTTCCTCCAGGTGTATATGTCACCCTCGAACCCAATGTCCTGCAGCTCGCATCTGTTCAATGCCTCCCTAAAGTCGTCCATGCAGTGTTGTGGCCGGACCGCACTGCCTTCCTCCTCTGTACTCGAAAGTATTTCATTAAAGTCCCCTAGGCACAACCACGGCCTGGTATCTTAATGTTGTTGTTTCAATAAACCAAGAGTTCTCCATGTTCCCTTCTTCCTCGCCACCTCAGATTCACCATAAACCCCTGTAAGACGCCACTATGAACCATCTCCTTCTGTTATATCAACGTCAAT